CCTTTATTAAACCGCCGCAATGCGTGCAGTTCCACGATGGTTCATATGCAGTCATTACAGTCAAGCCAGATTCACATCATCCCACCTCTGGCTGCGTCTGAACATACCCAAACAAGAGCAGATGCCTCCTGGAGGGTGCAGAAGGATGACAAAATGAGAAGAAATTCCCCACCTGGGTTTGGCTTGACCTCAAGGTTGGGTGAGCAGAAGGACGGGGTCAAGAGCAGGGGAAAAAATGTATCACAAGAAAATGAAGCTGAGGACAGAACTATCAGAAACATTAGAAAAAAGGGGAGGGGGGGTATGAAGGACAGAAGCACTGAGGAGCAAGAAGAGGTGATGACTGCAGACAGGCACGAGTGGGTGGAGGGAGTGATTAGATTTTATGTAAAAGGGATAAAATGGGGAGATTTGGTGCAAATGATGTAATTACTCAAGTGAATGAGTGTTTAAAAAAAGTGATGTCAGGAACTTGTGTGAGAAGAGCGCCTTCAAACGAGTCCAGAGCATCAAAGAGAATACCGTAGGAGGGGAGGAGCAAATGTATGCAAAGCTCTGAGTAATTGTAAAATATGAGATAAAATTTACTGAGTGGTTTCATGTAGGCAGAAACATAACATTAATGGTTTGGGCTGAACTGTTTAAAACCAAAAGGAGGATCTCAAGAGGAGGTTATGAATGAACACAAACAGAAAGAAGAAAAGGGTTGAAAAAGGTTCTTCCACGGAACTCTTTAAAGAGGAGCAGAACTCAGATCTAACAAAAACAATAAAAAACAAGGTCTAAAGTTTGGGCTTCTATCATAAACGTATCTCACCAATCTTCTCTTTTTCTATCGTCCAGGATTGTTTATCATATGTAGTCATAATTCTGCCTTTTCTGGGCTTTTTTTTCTATTAAGTTATCTTTTTAAATTTTTTGTTACAATTTGTTTAATGTCTTTCTGTAGTTTCTAAGTGACTGGTTTCATTTTCATTCTGTATCATTCTAGTTATTGTTTTGGTTGTACTTGAGTTCTTATGTATTTCTTGTTTACTCCTTGTTGCCCCCTTGTGTCAGTCTCCATCCCCCTAGCTCCCTTCTAGGTCCTTCTGTCCACACCTGCTCCCAATCAGTTGATTACACCATTCTTTGTTCTGTTTGGCATTTATACTTCTCTGTAGTAGTAGTTGCTGTTTATTTCATTTCTTCATTCCCTCCTTAACCTATGTGTCCCCCTGTCTTCTGGGTCCTGTGTTCCTTGATCAGTAATTTTTAGATATATGCTTCTGTTGCCACTATTATTAGATCTGCAAGAAACCCCCTCAGCTCCCATCTCTGCATTTGGGTTCTCTATAAACCTCCACACAACCTGACATATATAAGAGTTCAAGTTTTTCAGCTTTACACTCATACCCCTCTCTACAGCTACAACCACCAATGTATTGTAATCAGATCTTGCATGATGGTCCATTTCAAAAAAATTGAACAATTATTTAATTAAAGGGAAAATGGTAATATAAATAAGACAAGTCTTTTATTCTAACATCCCAAAACAAAATCCCGTAAAGCCAACAGCCTTCAGAAGGCATTGTGGATTTTCTCTTAAAGGAATAGTACACCCAAAACATGATTAGCCTTAATTTTCTACTCACCTCCATGCTGAACAACACTCTGGAGTACTTTTTTGATATCTCAAATGCATCTGGAGATCTGGGAGACTTCTTGCTGTCTGCTGACATTCAAATAATGGAGGTCTATGGCGCCCGAGACAGAAAGGTCCACAAAAGTCCACAAAAACTTGTCAATATTCCTCCATACTGCTCGTCCAATGTAATCCAAGTGTCCTGAGTGGGTAGCATCCAGAATTTACTCGAAACGAAGTCATTTAGAACGTTTTAGAGCCTAAACAGTAGTGTATAGGATTTCCTAATAGCGCCCCCATGCGCGCTCACGATTCTACGGAAGCCGGCAGACCAAACCAGCGCATTCAGCTCGGCAAAGAACTCATGCTCTTCCTCAACACTGAAGTCCTCAGACATTTTTCTTTCGTTGTTTCTTTCTTTGCACAGGTAAACAGCACATTTCTTCTTCTACGCTTGCATTATCGGCAGACCAGACGCTGAATGCGCACTTCCTTCCGGTTTGGTCTGCCGGCTTCTGTAGAATCGTGAGCGCGCATGGGGGCGCTATTAGGAAATCCTATACACTACTGTTTATGCTCTAAAAACATTCTAAATGACTTCGTTTCGAGTAAATTCTGGATGCTACCCACTCAGGACACTTGGATTACATTGGACGAGCAGTATGGAGGAATATTGACACGTTTTTGTGGACTTTTATGGACCTTTCTGCCTCGGGCGCCATAGACCTCCATTATTTGAATGTCAGCAGACAGCAAGAAGCCTCCCAGATCTCCAGATGCATTTGAGATATCAAAAAAGTACTCCAGAGTGTTGTTCAGCATGGAGGTGAGTAGAAAATGAAGGCTAATCATGTTTTGGGTGTACTATTCCTTTAAGGCCTCATATGTTTTCTTGGAGAACATCAGTGACTAGAGAGCATCATGAAAGCCAAAGAACACAAATTGCAGTGACCAGACTTGAATCTCAAAAAGCATTTAAAGACAATTACAAGGTCGGCTTTCTATCATCTGAAGAACATTTCCAGGATTAAAGGAATAATGTCTCAGCATGATCTGGAAAAACTAATCCATGTGTTTATTTTTAGTCGAATTGATTACTGCAACAGTGTTTTCACTAGTGTTGCGCCGATGCCATTTTTTGGCCCCGATACCGATACCCGATACCTGGCTGTGCAGTATCGGCCGATACCGATACCATTATAATGTAAAATAATTGCCATCATGGCTTTGTCAAGCTGCTGCCTACCTTTGTGAAGCAGGAAAAAATCTAATACAAAGTGAATCCAGTAGAACTTTTTATTGCCTACCAGGAGTGGGTGACAATAGTTGAATAAACTTATGGCTCTCAAAATGATATCGGTGCCCTATTTGTTGGTACTCGCCGATACCGATACCACCATTTTAGGGCAGTATCGGGGCCCTGTCCGATACTGGTATCGGTATCGGTGCAACACTAGTTTTCACAGGTTTGCCTAAAAAGTGGATCAGACAGCTGCAGCTGATCCAGAGCGCTGCTGCCCGTGTCCTCACTAAGACTAAGAGCACATCACGCCAGTTCTAAAGTCCTTCCACTGGCTCCCTGTATCTCAGATAATAGACTTTAAAATACTTCTGTTAGTCTATAAATCTCTGAATGGCTTAGCACCTAAATACATCACAGACTTGCTATCAGTGTATCAACCCTCCAGACCACTCAGGTCTTCTGGCTACAGCCTGCTCTGCATACCTAGAACCAGAACTAAACATGGAGAAGCAGCGTTTAGTTCCTATGCTTCACTTATCTGGAACAAACATCCAGAAAACTGTAAAAGAGCGGAAAGCCTGAGTTCCTTTAAATCAAGACTAAAAACCCACTTGTTTAGGATTGCCTTCGACTGTTCTAGTTAAACAGTTCAACTGAAACATCATTAGTTCAACTTTTTTTATTTTCTTTAGTCCAACTGTTTTTAATGTTCTTTTTTGTTTCTGCATTTTTTATTTCATTTTTTTCCTACTTCCTTTGATTCTGTTTTATTTTCCTATATTTTAATCATGTAAAGCACTTTGCATCGTCTTTGTAGTGAATTGTGCTATACAAATACATTTGCCTTGCCTCAAAAGAGTTATGCTATATAAAAAAAGGTCCTTAAGCTTTGAACATTTTGCAGTCTGTTCAATTCAACATATGTAAATCAAAGGGGCAAGGCAGAGAGAAAACTATCTCAGAGCTACTTCTGCAGTTTGCCAAAAGCCATAAACAGGACACAGCAAATAAATGAAAGTAGGAGCTCTAGATAACACCTGGATAAATGTTTTTGCCAATGCAAATAATAAGATCCGAAATAACAAGCCTTTAATTTGTGTCAGACTTCAACAAGGAAGACTGGGGGTTGCAGATAAACACAAAAGGAGCACAGAAGTACTGATCTAGAAGGACTTTCTATTTTGGAGAAGGTAATAGTAAACTGGCTGCATTGTTGGCTCTGTCTAGAAAATGAATACAGTGGAGCAGAAGAGCTCTAAGCCGATTTAGGTTTGTACACTCTTACTGTACATGTTCAAAATCTTTACTAAATCTGGGCTCCATGCTTCACAAATATTCACTGCTTTTTGATCATCTCTAAAATACCAATAAAATTAAAGATTGTGTCGGTAACATAAGATTTATAAAAATCCTTTACAGAGATGATGACATCTGCAAAGCGATTTATGCAGAGACATGTTTTAATTGCATTAGCTATTATAGAATAAAAAAAAAAAAGCAAAAGGCTAATTGAACTCATCCTTCCATCACAGCTGTGGTTCAGATGACTTACAGCATGCTAAAAGTGGGATGGCCAAATTGGGTTTCCCTTCTTAATTAGGCCAATTAATTTGGAAATATAAGCAACGACCACGAGGGCTTCGCCAGGTCATTTAGGGATTACACAGAGAAATTAAGAGTTGTGGGAAGAGACAGAGAGAGAGTAGCAGGAGTTCATGAGGAAAGAAAGCATTCAGGAGGACTTCCTTGATAGATACCCTCACAATCCGTTTAAATGTTATCACTTAGTGATTCAAGGGCTGAGGATAATTACCCATTTGTGGTAATTCATCCAAATCAATCACTCCTTTTGGGAGTCAGTGAACTGAAAACAAAGCCTGCCATCTGACGCGCTTTCTGCAGCTGACAGGCGTTCACGTTAATCTGCCATGAAAAACACATGAAAGGATGCAAAATAGAGATGCAAGGGAAATAAGAGAATCATTTTATGATGGAAATTTTTTCTTTTTAATGCCCATTAGCGTCTTTTATTGGATTTAAACTTCCCAGATGCTTCTGTAACTACCAATGTAGCAAGCAGCTTTTTACTTGACAATTTCCTTAAAATCACTCTGAAGAATATTTCAAACTCACCTCCACAAAGAGGAAGCAGGGCACAATGTAAGTGCTGGTTTTTAGCTGGCCTCTGTCTGCAGGAAGGTTCCTCATGGGCCTCCCCTGAGATGGTCGCTGACTGTCCATCATCTGTGGGAGTTACAGCACACTGTAAGGCTTTTGTCTATCAAATGCATTCCTGTTTAATGAAATTTAACATTCTGAGCATAAAGAAAGCTATAAACCAGTGTAGCTGCTAGCTTTAAAAATAACTAATTTTGGACCCTTTGAAAAACCTTGGATGGAATAAGTACAACACAAAGGTAGTCAACACACAAAAATGACCAATTCATCTATTTCTCTCCTGCAATCCTCGCAGATATGCAGCTGGTTTATCTCTAGGCGCATGGATGGATGGATGGATGGATGGATGGATGGATGGATGGATGGATGGATGGATGGATGGATGGATGGATGGATGGATGGATGGATGGATGGATGGATGGATGGATGGATGGATGGATGGATGGACGCACAAACGGATGGATGGAGGGAATTGATCAGGCTTGATTGCTGGTGGGATCATTTGTTCCATGTTTTTTTCTTATGTTCTGATGAAGCTAACTACATATATTTTCTCCCAAATTGGACATTAAACAGCCAAGGGGCAGGTCATTTGTTGCTTCGAGCATTCCCCTTAATCTGTTACTTCTTTCAATTAGCTTGTGACCACTTCCTGCAGCATTGATCCATAGGTGTAATAGAGGTTTTGTTGCACTAAAGCAGTGGTCTGCAACCTGCACCTCCAGATCCACATGTGGCTCTTTGGAGCCTCTACAATGGCTCTTAATACAGGCTAAAAATTATATAGAAAACTAACTGATTTTCTATAATAACAAATACTAGTCTTTGCAGCTTTAGCCGTTTTATAAAGATATTAGAATTGAATTTTCACAACAAAAGTAAAAAGAACCAGAATTTTTTTTTTCTTTTAGTATTTCTATTGTATGTGTTGTAGCATTATGTTTCTTTTGTAAATCAAAATAGAAGAAAATCACTGCTTAAATTGTATGAATCATTTTATTTTTTTCCTTATTTTAAGAGCTGAAAATACAAATAAACTCTGGGCTGATTAAGATGGAAACAGATTTCCTATGAGAGGTTTTTAATCATAGAAAATAATCGGCTGTGTTTCATTAAAAGATTTCTATTGCTTCCACTGTGATCCAGAACCCAGGCACTCAGGTTGAAGTTTATAGTGTTCACCTGCACAAAAAGACAGCGGCCTTTTAATATGTTCCTGAAGAGTATTGAGTGACGGACACTTATACGGGTTTCACTGAATGGGAAACATTTAAGTTTCAAGTTATTTGGTGACAGTATAAACAAAGCTGCAAATAATTCAGTTAATTTAAAACCAATAGACAACGGATAACCAAGGCATAAAATTATTGAGTAAAGAAAGGCCCTGGATACCCATAGAGTCAGACTTCAATCACAAGACAGAGGAAGGGGCACACTTCTTTGGCTGATTTAACCCGCCTGTTGGATGTCGTATTGTTTTATCTAAAGTCTCAGTTAAATCAGACAGATTTCCTACAATCCAAGTGTCTATAGCCACTTGATCTTTAAAGAGATGTGTTTTAAGTAAAGCAAGATAAAACTGTTCAGATCTGATATGTTTAAGACAATCCTAACAATAAGTAGGATTGCCTTAAACAATAATTATTTTTTCTCTTTTATGAAACCCTGGTTTACACCCAGGGTTTAGATCATTCAAACTAGTTAAACTATACTACAAAAGTATGAGTGAATGAATGACTGACTGACTGACTGACTGACTGAATGAATGAATGAATGAATAGGAATTAATTTCAGAATTTTTTTTTTTTTTTTTTACAAACAACAATAAAGAACAATAAATGAATCAACAAAATACACGAATAAGAGACTAGTTAACAGCAGCGCTTGAAAAGTTCACTTAAGGCAAAAGAACAGGGAGCTAGAAGAGGTTTCACCCCTCATCCCCTCATCCAAAAGGCTTCCTCAGTTCTAACGAGCAGTGGGTAGCACTGCCATATGTCCATAGGTTGCTGAAGTCTCTGAAAAACTCAGTAGGCTTTTCAACCAGCACCATATCCCTGTGCACTTCAACCTGGTGTGAGATCAGATATTAGACTGTGCCTTTTTTTTTTCTCAGCCAAATAAAAGAAACCTTGGACCTGTATCTCTGCTGGAGTTATGTGGGGAGTTGGGAGTGAGATGACGGAGAGCGGTTGTCTCCTAACTCTAGACAAGGGTGAGATAAATTGAATGAGGCATATTACAGAAACCGCTCTGATTAGGGAAGTACCGACCCATCAGAACCTCCTAATGATCATTAACACCCCAGGTGACTTTCTTGGCCAATCGAGTAGGAGGGATCAGAGTCACCATTTGGTTCCCATCATTTTTAGTTAGACCTAAATTATATTAATCTCAAAGCTCCCCATCACTAGTTAGATCAGAGGAATCCTCTTGGATGAGAGGCAATATGTCTTCTAGAAAACTTCACGTCCAGTTGCCTAGACTGAACTTTTAAAGCTTGACCATGAACTGGATGACTGAGAATCTTCACAGATATGCAATAACAGTACTTTGACTTTTTTTGATGCATACTTAGAAAGCAAGAGTGAATCGTTAACATGCAAAATGACCTCCAGCAGGCCACTGGTGTGAATGTCTCTGACCAAACAATCAGAAACAGACTTCACAAGGGTGGCCTGAGGGCCCGACGTCCTCTAGTGGGCCCTGTGCTCACTGCCCGGCACCGTGGAGCTCGATTGGCATTTGCCACAGAACACCGGTATTGGCAAGTCCGCCACTGGCACCCTGTGGTTTTTTACAGATGAGAGCAGGTTCACCCTGAGCACATGTGACAGACGTGAAAGGGTCTGGAGAAGCCGTGGAGAACATTATGCTGCCTGTAACATCGTTCAGCATGACCGGTTTGGTGGTGGGTCAGTGATGGTCTGAGGAGGCATGTCCATGGAGGGAAGCACAGACCTATACAGGCTAGACAACGGCACCCTGACTGCCATTAGGTATTGGGATGAAATCCTTGCACCTATTGTCAGACCCTATGCTGGTGCAGTGGGTCCTGGGTTCCTCCTGGTGCACGACAATGCCCGGCCTCATGTGGTGAGAGTATGCAGGCAGTTCCTGGAGGATAAAGGAATTGATACCATCGATTGGCCCCCACGCTCGCCTGACCTAAATCCAATAGAACACCTCTGGGACATTTTTTTTTTATCCATCCGATGCTACCAGGTTGCACCTCAGACTGTCCAGGAGCTCAGTGATGTCCAGATCTGGGAGAAGATACCCCAGGACGCCATCTATCGTCTCATTAGGATCATGCCCCGACGTTGTCAGGCATGCATACACGAACGTAGGGGCCATACAAATGACTGAATACCATTTTGAGTTGCTGCAATGAAATTTCAGCTAAATAGACTAGCGTGCCACAAATGATGTGGCAACCTTTTGTTCCTAACCCATCACCCAGTCCATATCAGTACAAATAAATGATTTTTTTCCCCATTGAGATCTGATGCGTTTTTTAAAGTGTTCCTTTAATTTTTTTGAGCAGTGTACTAGTTAAACAGTAGGGCTTGGTACAGTTTAGTTTTGGCTCAGTTCTCTGATAACAAAGAGTGCATTAGCAGATAGTGATCTCCTATTTACAGTCAGCTGTTTCAGTTTGCGGGTTTCCCGGCGTGTCCGGCTTTGCAATTCACAGATCTCTTCACCAGCTTGCAACACAAAATTCTTCTCACCCTATTAACAATAAATGGCATCAAAAGAGCATGGCGCTATCTGGGATTATTATTATTATTATTATTATTTAGGCACATAAGTTCCTGAATGGTATGGTCGGCGCCATTTTTTTTGCTTGCATAATTCCCGCCTTCAGAGCTGTAGTATCACGGGCCGCTGATAGGAGGCAAGGAGCCGTGAAAATTTGAGTAATATGTGTATAAGGTCGTAAGGACAATGCTTGGCATGGTTAACTGATCCAAGCTCGGTTAGAACTGGATCAGTTTCAGAGGGATAATGTAAATGGGGCATATGTCACTCCGACTTCCCAGTTCCAAGTTCAACAGTAAATCAAACACCATTATACCAAAACGTGGATGTTTGACGTTGGCGTGTATCAAGTGGTATTGTTTGTAATTAAAAATGTTGACATACAGTAGAGATGTCAAAATTAATGAAGCAAAATCAAGAAAGCACCTTTAGGACCCAATTTAGAGTTTATATGCAAAGTAGGAGTTCAGTTACTCCTTCAGAAAGGTGGACAATGAAGGGTTTTTTTCATGAATGCGAGTTGCCAACAGGACCAAGGCATATACAGTGGTAGGCATTCAAAATGTCCCCACTTTCCTTGATGGGCCCTTGGCTGGTCCTTGACTGCTCTCTACAATTCCTTTTTATACATCAATCTTTGTACTAAAACATTTTTTCTGTCATGATTTTTGTATATTAAGAACTAAAGAGAAGCGTCATCTCCTGATCAGACCATGCAATTAAGTGAAAGAGTGGAGTCACAGTAAAAAAATGCATGCCCAGGTGAGAGTCAGTGGCTGGAAGTTGGAGGGGATTTGGCTGGGAGTCGCAGGGGAGCAGGCTGCCATTCGGCTGGCATTTGACTGGGAAGGGACATTTTGAATGGCTGCTAGAGACATTATTATACGATTAACCTGAAAACCTACAGAATTGGTGGGAACCACGAAGGAACAAGTGCAACAGGAACAGCAGAATCCAACAGAGAAGAACAAGCCCAATAATGCAGGAATTAGGATGAGGAACATTAAAACACAGTCAGTAGAATGAACAGAATGCAGAGCAGCTAAGAAATAAATGTCAAGTTTTTTGCAGAGAAACTATAAACTGGGCAAATGGGTTGGTATTTCAATGTTACTGAGCCTCTTTTTACACATTCATGTGAGCTCGGTTAGTTCAGATAAAGGTTGACTTTCTCTGCAATTTACAGAAACATAAGCAGTTACACAGGATCAGGCCTTCAAAGTGAACAATATCTGTCCTGAAAACGTTTTAGTGCTGCAATCGTAGGGTGGCTGATGCAGTTTTCCTATTGGTTTAAAGGCTACATGTTGATAAACGCTTTCATCATCATAGTCCTGAGTTTGGGTTTAGATAAAACTTTCTCCTCATCCGTCAAACTAATTTTATACTTATACTACTGTCTTAATTTTATTAAAAGTATAAAATTTAATTGAATACTTCAATTCAGTTTACTGTATGTATAGTGCCAAATAACAACACAAGTCATCTCAAAGGATCAAACAAAGACAATTCAGATTCGTTAAAGGTTTTCTATATTCAGTAAGGAAACTCTACCAAATTAATCAAGTCATTGACTTTACATTGACTAATTTTATATCCAAATCAATCATAATGTTCTTTTGATGCCCCCCCCCCCCCCCCCCCCCCCAAATTTATAATGTTCAAATATTTATTAAATTAAGGCAACAATTAAACAGTGGCTCAATCAAATGTTGCATCCAGTTCATCAGATAAAGTAAAGGTTGATTTTCTCTAACATTTACAGAAACGTCAGCAGTTACACAGAAATAGCCCTTTTAAGTGAACCAAAGAAGCAGGAAGTGTGTGAAAATTCAAAGACCTCAAACTCTAATGAGGACGCTTTGAGCTTTGAATATTGTGTCAACCGTGCACTCATAAAGTGAGATTTCTGATACCCTATGCGACCTCTATTTCTGCACATAATACTCTCTGAGTTACAGGGGGAATCTTATCAATACCAAAAGAATAAAAAAAAAAAAAAAAAAACTCTTTTCTATGAAAACGTACAAATACAGTTCTTCACTCACACACAAAAACACAGGCTTGTAGATGCACACAAAGGAACATCTTGCATGATACATAGAATACAAACCCAGGTATACAGAGGCAAATACACAAACCTAACAAGGAGGCAATGGGAGGATGGAAGAGAGGAAAATGGGGCTGAAAGGAGGAGAACTAGAGTGGAAACAGAGGAGTGATGATCAAAAACAAAAGCCTGACATAAAGAGATAACAAAGAGACAAAGTCATGATGCAGACATTAGGAGTTAGGAGAGTAGAGAGTGAGGTAAAAACCAAGCCGATTCAGCAAGGGGAAGTAATTGTGATAGTTGGATAACAGGTAGAAGACAGACAAGCTACACAACACAAGAAGACTGTGAGAGTAAGAGCTTGTGAGATGCTTTGGGGTTTCTGACATGCAAATGATCACGTTAAATAATGCCAGTCCTCTGCTCTTAAAATGCAGAGAAACCTCAAAAGATCTTTCGCCCTTGAAAGTGTTTTGTTGGGAGTTGTGAACTCTCTAATCTTCTGTTATCGCTGATAAGGGAAAAAAAACATCAACCCTCCATATGTAATTTATTCATCTTAGGACCAGCTGTTTTTTCTCTGCAGCTAACACGCTTATTCCCTCATCTCCTTGGAAACAATTATCTCCCCAACTTTACGCCGCCTCGTCAGGCCTTTCCTCAATCAGTGATTGTTACGGCTAAAGTGGAGCGCTCCACTTCAGAAAACTGGACTGCATTCATGCCTGTATTTTGGCCCTGAATGAGTAATGTGGAATAATAGATAAAAGGGCGAGTCCTTCAGCCCTTTACGAACAGGCAGGGAATTTATCAGAAGAATGATAATAAATGTAGAACCAAACAGTCAATTATTAATAAAGCATGCTTTGATAAAGCAGGAATTAAAAATGAAAAACTGTAAAGAGAAAGAAAGACACTTCATCAATATCTCCACTCATTTTGAAGCAGGTAAATAAAAAAAAAAGATGCTTTGTATTAATGAAACCTCAACGGGCTTTTCAATTAACATAGAAATATGTTTCAAAAATTTAAAATGTATTTTTTAAAGAGAAAAAAACATCAACCCTAACTTTTAAGCTCAACACCACAATTGGTATATATATATATATATATATATATATATATATATATATATATATATATATATATATATATATATATATATATATATATATATATATATATATATATATATATGCATTTACACTGACATATATACCAATTGAAGAATCACTAAACTCTAAAAACTCACTATTTTAAAACGAATTAAATTGATATGGCAACATTATAAATGAAGATTGTTAGTAAGAAAAGATTTATGTCGTATTCTGTCTGGAAAGGCTCCTGTGGAAAGTGTTCAGGAAAAGAAGGTACTGTACAATTCAAAACAATTCTTTGAGCCGAATGGGTAAACCACCAAGTGGCACCTACCTCCCATGTCAAGCTTTTAGCCAATCACAGCAGCAGTAGCAGTTGTGATGTATCACCTTCTTGATTTGTTTCACTACTAGTGGAGGTAACCTATAAATTAAGCTCTATGCTCAGCTCAAACGGGGTCAGGAGGAACTATCAAGCATCTTCACATCCCTAAGGGCACAAATCGCATCCTTTTGCTGGGGTTGCGAAAAAAGTAATAGACGTTTCCAGCTAAAACAGACTGAATACTGTAGTCAAAAGGTACGTCCACTGGTGCAGCCATATTTGTTTTGCTTCAGCCTAGTGCCTCAGAGTAACATAATGCACGTCGTTGAATTTCATTAGTTCGAAACATTTCTGTATTCATGGCTAAAGCATCTATTGGCTCCTGGCCAGCTGTACTTTTGGGATATTATTCGTTCACAAATTTTCGACAATTCCACAAACTTGCAAGGTAAGGAATGGTAACGGGATTTTTTTTAGCACAAAAAGTGCAACCACTTTTTGGTGTGGAAGTGGGTACTGAAGGTTGAAAACTCAGAGTTTCATATCTGCAAGAAGTTAAAAAAATAAAGCCTTTTAAAATGAAACTGTGTTTTCTGCTTTCTGTTAAAGCTACTGTAGGGGAGACTTTGAGGGTTACTGGTCATTTCATTCCTTCGCCATTTCGCCCTAGCCGTTTTATAGCCCTTGCTTTGGGGCACGAAATTTACTCATTTTGTTGCAAGATGTCCGTTAATACCAGCCTTGGGAATACTTTTATGAACCAGCAAATGGCTGAATCAACCCCCAGCCAATTTAAGCATATTACAAGAAGGCTGAACATTTCACAGCAACTTTGCTGTTTCATCTATGAAGCCCCCTGGATTTAGACACGCTTTTGGCAAGGGGTTGCATTCTGTAGCAAATAAACAGAGAGATCACTGAATCCAGTTAGGACTGATAACACCCATTTAGTTTTTGTTTTTACAGTCGAACTTTGAATATAAATAATTAATGACCCGTCACAAAGAGAATATTAGCTATAATCATAGCTAAGTTCTCTAAAACTACAGTTCTGAAATTGTCCACAATACCACGATCAGTGCATCTTTCAAATAATATATTTGCACGAAATAAAAAATTCAAAGCACTATACACTGCAACAACATCCCTGCATATATATGACAGGTTTGATTTTTGAGTTCCTGTTTAAAAAGCATGAGATGATTTCAACGAAAAGCATGTTTCAAAACATCCACAATCCACAGAGAGCACGTTGTAATATTCATGTCAGAAGATAAAAAGAACCTATCTATGCATACACACACCCAGACAGGCGCTATGCTGTACATACAGTATTTGGATATGTCCTTTATGTGTTGCTCTTCTGAAGCTGTTTGATGCAACCAAGCAAAAAGCCTGCCATGGCTGATTTTTTCATGCTGTGCACTATTATGTGCATCTTTAAGCCTTTCACTGGCACCACGGCAACAAAAAGACTAAAAAACCTCACTGGCACACATGCAGTGGTTCACACAAACATCCAGGCACACATTCAGGTTTGATCCCACTTCTTTCACTGTTGAAGAAGCTGTTTTGTCAGCATCCAGATTTAGATATTAGAACAGTAAGCAGTTGTCTTTTTTTTTTAGTTCATATGCGTGTGTGTGTGTGCAGTTGAGCATCCCTGTGACCCACATTGTTGAACCTTAGGAGTGGCACAGCAGGAATACCATCTGTAGGAGGACGTCTTTCACTCCTCCTCTCTTTACCTTTCTCTCCTGCACACTCAACACACACTCACACACAGTTGCTGTTTGGAAAAGTCTCACCTTATCTTTCTGTGTGTGTCGGAAGCAGTTGTTGCAGCTGCCTTGGAAGTCTAAGGGGATTTGCTCCTGCAGCGAAGTCGCATCCTGTGGTCTTTTCGTGGTCTCAGCTCCGATCTCTCTCTTTCTCCTCTTTTTCTTCTCTTTCAAAGCATTGCCGCCCCTCACTTCCGCCGCTCTGCCACTTATAAGCCTTTCAGTGCTAAGTGTGAATAGAGAGAGATAGAGAGCCTGCCCACTGCCAGGCACTCAGCCTGCAGCCAGACTGCTGCTCTATATCTGTCTGCGCTCTGCTGCTGGGTCGGCAGGCGAAATATGAGGATCTTCAGCAGCACTTCCAGGCTAATTAGTCAAGTGATGGGATCCATGGGCTGCCTGCTTCGTGCAGTTGCTGGTGGATACCAGCAGAGGAGGAGAAGGTGTGTGAGAGAGACAGCATCTGCATCTGCGTGTGGGGAAGAAAGAGAGAAGGGAAAAACTGTGGGAAGAGGGAATTTAAGAAAGAGAGAGAGATGGGAGTATGAAAGCAGAAAGGAGAGTGTGTGTTGGAGGCTGAAGCAACACTGTGGCTAAAACGGTGTACTTTAGTCCCCCTGGAAACTACTCTGGTACAGAGAGACGTTGTTCGCTCTGAACTAGTATCTGTGGTTATACAAGGAAAGCCAGGAGAGAAATAGCTGAATTATCAGATGATAGTCAAAGCTGGGTCTTTCAATCCTTTTCTTTTTTTTAAACACCTTGACTCACACTCAACGAGGGAGCTCAGGTGATATGGGATCTCAGCTCTGAACAGCCAGAAGTGGGTTAATGATGCATTGTCAAGCAGAAAAGTGGAGTGCAACCCACACATGTCCCTATGTAGGTCATAGGCCTTTGGTCGCAAAGCTCTACAGGAGGATTTGGAGGTTGTTCTCTTTTTTATGTACAGGTGTGTCCATTACCTAATGGAGCAGCGTTACATTAAACAAATTACAACTAAATCAGTGCCGAATCAACGGCCCTTAGTATTTTTGTGAAAGTATCAGATTAAGCATGCATAAAAATGTTTTTTTTCTGTGGTTTAGCCTTTTAGTAAATGTTTAAACATGCATGCAGAGAGTGCAGTTCCATGCACTGGGATATCTACTGAAGGCATTGAGGCAAAGGCTGTATTTGCCTCAGATTCTAACCCTCTTTGCAATAAAAAATAAGAGCCTTACTTTGGAAACCTTCACATTTTACTAATTTTACACTTATTTTACTGGTATTTTATACTGGACTGACAAAAACAATCCACTGGACTTTGTTTCCAAGTTTGAAGACGTTTCACTTCCATCCAGGAAGCTTTTTTAATTCAATTAAAAATGTCAGAATGAGTGCTGAGTTTGAGGCTTTATAAAGAGGACCAAAAAAAAAGTATTGTTTTGGCTTCGAAAATACGCAAATTGAATTCCATAAGGTGCAGTACATCTAGACCTTATGGACAAAGGAAATGCTTTTGAGAAACAAAATGTTCACATTTTGGACAAAGAAGACAGGTGGTTTGAGATGGACGTATAGGAAGCCATCTATGTTAAGAAAGAAAAAAACAGCCTTTAACGGAGGGGTCAAAAACCTTCATATATAAATAAGGTAATTTAAAAGCCCTGTATGCAATTTTCCATCTGTTTCCTACCCATATACACTTCTTTGTTTGAATAGTTAATTGTCTTGGGAAGTTTTCTCCACCTCCCTAACATTACTGACAGGGGATATTGGTTATTACACTTCAGTGTCTTTACATCAGAAATTTCCCTTACGTTAGATAAAAGCTTAGGAATAGAAATCTGTCTAGCATCGCTCTTAAGAAGACAAAATCAGAAAACCCATCACAGCTTCTTCCAGAATCCAAGGATGTCAGGAACCAGCCGCCCACCCTTCTTTAACACTCAAACAAATCACTCACAGCTGAAGTGGGACCACGGACCACTCATGGCAAAGTGGCTTTTTCCCTCCACCCGAGTATTATGGATAAAATCGTACAATGTCACTGATCGCATAGTTCCCATGGAAACCTGCTGGATTCACGAAGTGGAATATCAAAAGAGGAAATGTGCGTGTTCAGAAATATCCACACATGTAAAAGGGTACAGACAATGTGGATGAAACAAGTGGCCTTGCAGGCAAATCCTTGAGTTCAGAAACCTGAGTGTGACACAATCACACATGCAGACACACAGAAAAATCTGTTAATAGGAAACTCTATCTAATTACTCTCTTTCACTGGCATTTGAAGTGGAGGTAGAAGAAAGACATAATCAGTAATGCCTACTAATCAGTCCTTTACAAATGAGGTAAACAACCTTTCACAAATGCAGAAAAGAAACGCAGGTGCTGAACGTCCATGGAAACCAATGCACAGAAAAAACATGGTACATTAACATCTATATGCCTTTTATAGGACAATTACTTTATTCACACCATTTAATTCACACACAGCATTCTGTGCTGCCTCTTTTTCCCTTGCAGCATATTATCTACGAGCAAAGCATTCTATCTATCTACCTATCTATCTATCTATCTATCTGTCTGTCTGTCTGTCTGTCTGTCTGTCTGTCTGTCTGTCTGTCTGTCTGTCTGTCTGTCCGACCGTCCTTTTATCCATCCATCCATACACAAACATACAGACCCATACTTGTTCTGCCATCATAGTGAGGACCATGTGTTGACTCCCATTGACTTAAATTGATTTTCAGTCATTTTCAACTCGTTCTATCCCCTAACCCTAAAACTAACCATTACCAATGCATACCTCACTCTAACCCTAACTCTAACCAATTGAGACCTTAGCCCTAAACCTAACCATTAGCAAAATAGCATGTGAGGACAGGCAAATTGTCCTCACTTTAAAACAACTGGTTCTCAATTTGATGGTGAATTGGAAAAATGGTCCTCACTCTGAGGGCTATACAGGTACACACATACATACATACTTAGGTACATATACACACATACATATGTGTAGTATAAACATATATATATATATATATATATATATATAATATACACACACATTTAATCAGATATGTAAACAGTGAGGGAGAAAAAACATGGTGCATAACGTAAGGATGTAGAAGTTCAGAGCATTAATATACGTGGTGCAAATATGCAGCATTATGGTTTGACGTTATTAGTGTGATACAGAGTCTGTGGCTTGATTTAGAGCCAGCAAGATCTGTGGACACCACAGTCTTTACAATGAAAATGGAGCTGGAAAGAACAGTGAAGTGACAAGCAGGGAATTCCATATAATCAAAGCGGGAAGGCACTAGTCTCACCATGTGGTCAGAGTGGAGCAGTGACCACTGAGGTTGAAAAATCTGAATTTTTCTGTGAAATCTCGTTGTAGCAACCGATCAGGAACTAGTGGGGGTTTGGACGTCAGTTGAAGAGGTGCAGGCGAGACAAAGCTTTTTTAAATCTAAATGGAATACATCGAAAAATGTTGACCAAGAAAGAAATAAGGAATGCTCTTAAGACTGTTTTAGGTGTTTTCTTCAAAAATCCCATTCAAGGACTGTGAAATAATTAAGCAGTCGTGGTCTTTGCGCCACCGCAGACCCTGGCCAGCTGCTACCTCTCCTCAGCATTGGTGCTCTCTGCCTATCTAGAAAAAATCTGTCTGGATAAAACTAACAGTCATCCTGATCCCCCTCTAGGAGTAGGTGGTGGTTCTCTGCAAACTGGTTCCATCTCTGGAGAATTTGGTGGACGCATACAAACTGATGCTGATGGCTTTGTTCAACTTTCTATAACATTACAAACTCCATAATTCAGACGATTACATCCTGATCTGAGTTGAAACTAGCAAGCAGATAGAAGCTCAAGCTCCTCCTATTTGATGACACAGTCTACGGTATGCGCAGTGAAGCTGAGGTCACCTGTTTGTGCCTCTGAGATACATCATGAAATGTTTATACACATCAGTTAACTCCCACAGAATCAGCCAGATAAGCGAAAATGACTTCTGTCGGTGTGAGCCCATCAATGCGACCAATGCGTGTCACAATATGGTGGCAGGGGGTTACAAAGGCTGTGCATAAAAATGATATAGCAGCAAAATCAGAAGCTGCACTCAGTTAAAAAAGAGAGCAGCAAAGTAGAAATTACTTGCAAAAATGGCCACTGCAAATACATAAATAACATCCACACAATACACACGCAAAGAAAGAAAATGGTGAAAGTAGAAACAACTAGAAGTTAAGAAAAGCAGAAAACTAGCTCCAAATAATAAAAGTGCTCAGATCACTAGAGGGTGACAATTAACAACTGATATGATACCAAATCCTTAGAAAATGCATAAATGGGATGATCAGAAAATCTACTGTAAGTATTTTAAAAAGATTAACGGGAAAATGTACATTTTCTTTCTTCCCCTCAGATTTCCCCTCATTGGCATCCTTTATATGTTTTCTGTTGTTTGATTAACGTAAAAAAGTAAATTATTGATTTATATGAAGTTATATTTCTTATTTTTGTCAGGGGAGATTTCTTTGATGTCCTCGAGATAAAATAGCAAACATCTGTGTGGGTGTTATCGCAGCTGTGTATAATAGTAAACTAAAGACTAATGAATACTGTCTATAAGCACATTGTCTCTTAATAACACCCTTTTAAAACCAGCCCAGCCAGTCCTTCTTCCCAGGTGTGCTGCGTTCACATAAACACATATTGGACTCTCAGCAGCATGCTACACGTGGAGATCCCTGCACACAAAGAAGAGTGATCAGGTGCTGGTACCTGTTCACATGAACACCCCTGTACAAAAGTCTATCAACAGTGCAATGTAAGGGAAAGATTGCTTTACCAAAAAATACTGTCCTTCGTGAACACAACATGCAAACACAGCACAGTGGGGATACCATGTTGTAAGGATAATAACTCCCACTGCCTGGCTCCTCTTGTAAAGACTCTCTCTTGTCTTGGGGAATCAGAAGTAGGCCGAGTCTTTGGATGTGCTCATTTCAGATACTATCGCTGTGGATCATAGCCAAGGACATTTTAGCTTCAATTTGCCAAGCTTGGGACTTTCAGACATAAAGAATTCATCAGATTTCCAGCTAAATGGGATTTTAAAAGTAGATCTAGCGCAGGTCAGCTAAGCTGTATATCATCTGCCCTAAATATAGAACATCACTAAAAAGAAATAACTTGTTCTTGCTGATATTTTAAAGGTTTATGCCCCCATATTTCGCTCAATTAAGACATATAGTGGAAAAGTGTGGTTCAAGCAAATAGTGGTACAAGTTAAATATAATGAACTGTAATAAATGATGGTTGTTTTGTTTTGTTTTTGAAAGACATGGAATTTTGAAGCACTGTTGTCCAATCATCCTATGACTCTTTAATAAAAGAACCTTCAGATCTCAGGTATAATGGACAAAAAGTTATCTGGATTAACAATAAATAGTCAAATTCACAAGTAAAATGATC